CAAACTCTTCCTGCCAACTGTTCCCTCTGCTGGGAATGGCTGCTCCAATCTTCACATTGATGGGAACTTCTTGTAATTTAGGCCTTAAGGCTTACCTCTGTAGTGGGCCTTCCCAGACCATCCAGTGTGAGGGACCCTCTCCCACGACACTCCCTCCATCACTCTGTTCTGATTCTCTGCATGACACTTGCCACTATTTAATGTGCTCTGTTTTCCTGACTGCTATATCTGACCTCTAAGAACAGTGATGGCAAACAGTAGGAGCTTGACAAATACATGTTGAATGAAGGATTCCACTGAGATCTTTCAATGAGATAAAATGTGTGAGGGCAGAAGGGATGATTTTTTTTTTATCATTAATAGATGAGACAAATAAAAGTAAAAAATCCTCTGACTCACGTGTTGTGAGCACAAAACCTCATGAGTTGAGGATGACACCTATTTCCCTTATAAACAACTTGCATTCTGCAACAGCTTGGCAGCCACACCACTGAACTCTTGACCTCCCCTCTGAGCTGCAGCTGAGAATATCTAATGACTTGCTAGACACCTTCGCTTCAACACCTCAGCCACATCACATCCAGTGCTACGTGCATAACTACCTGCTAAAACCAACATTTCCTCTCACGCGCTTCTCTATTAAAGATCCCCAAGTCTCCCCAGAGCCTGCCACGCCTGCAGCATTTATCATTTGGCGGCTCCTGCGGGGCACTTGGCCATGTCTTTCCCGTTCCTCCCATTCCTGCTGCTGCTGCAGGGTGCCGGCCCTCTCCTCTTTTACTCTCTGAGAATTGCCTCTTAGCTGGCACCTTGACCTTCAAGAGCTATTCGTGGTAACTGAATTTAGCAAAAATGACTCCTTTTTCCTCATTCTTGTCCTTTGAGGGTTTTGATTGCTAACTGTGACACACGAAGAATGTAAAGTATCTACAGGTATTCTAGAAAACCTGTATAGCTAAAGCCTGCCTTGGCTTGAGTGCTTCTGGGGAAGGAGGAGCTCATCACCCTCAGCCCACTTCACCCCCATGCGGAAGAGAGTGGGTCTGCCATAGGCCAGCTGCCCCAGCTTGCATCATAATCGGAGCCATCTAAGGCTAGAGCCGAGGTAGAAATATTAGCTGCTGAATGGTAGGTTGGTCTGGACCTGTACAGTCCACTAGGGTGGCCACTGGCCATGTTGGCTGTTTACTTCCCATGTAAGGTAATTGCAATTAAATAACGATTTTAAAAAGAGCAGTGTCTTTGTCACAGTAACCATAGTGTCGTGTTCAGTAGCTATATGTAGCCCCACACTTGACAGACAGCTAGAGAACTTTTCCACCATTGCAGAAAGCGCTATGAGATGGCTCTATTTTAGACCCCCAGCACTTGTAGCAGGTTAATTCTTTGCATTACTTTAGTCAGAAGATGTTTAATATCCTCCTAGAAGGTGCTGTTGGACTACAAGCATGGCCAGGATCCACACAGTCCCTTTCCTCATGGATTAGTGGGGGGAAGAAAGGGTCCTTGCAGATTTTATTCTGTGGAAATTTGGACTAGGACTCTTTTTACCTGCACTGGTCAGACTGTCACCACCAACTACCAACCGCCTCCAGACACTTTGGCTTTCCAAATAAACATAAGGCCTGAATCAATGGAAAGTAAAAAGATAGCATTGTCCTCTTTCAAAGACCCCAATATGCTTTTGAAATCCGACTTTTCCAGTACATACAAGAGGCTAAGCAAGGAGAAGAGGATTACAAATCTATAGTAGTTTCCAATATGGGGAACCTAAGAAGTAGAGGACTGAAGTAAAATTCATTTCTTCTGTGCCAGAGACTGTGCTAGACACTTGGTATATTGGAATGAACAAGAGGTAAGCGACTTGTTCATACACTGGAATGGACGGACTCAGCGCTCCTGTTGGCCCTGCAACAAAGTCAGCCTCTTTTCTCTTACAGGTACCAGGGACATACGTGGATTGCAGTCTCTAGTGCACAGCTATTCCTGAGTGCTCGTCTAGGACCGAAAGGGGATGCTTTTATTATTATTATTATATGACATTTTATTTTTAACATTTCTTTTCATAGAAAGCCTTTTCACATTAGAGATTTTCTTTTCATGTGAGATTCCTATAGTGGGAAAATAGTAATTTATTACTTATAGATTTACATTTGTGGACAGATCGTTTTAGACTAAGTAAAATATGTTTGAGAGTGAAGTCTCAGTTTAGAATTATTTGTAACATTTTGATACTTCTACAAGGGGGACTCTGCCCTTAAGTGGAACTTCACTATACTCAGAAGCACTCCAAGCTTTTCTTCCTAGGATTTAGAAACTCATACTGTGAGATATGAGCACTTCCTGATTTTAAAGTTCCCCTGGTACATGTAACCATCAGTAGCTGCTGCCTACCAAACAGAGAGGAGTCTTTGAAAATTAAACACTGTCTCGTTTTCTGCAAAGTTGGTATTCATGAATTCCCAGTATTTCTCTTTGTCCATTATTCCCAAGGCAAGTACAGAAGAAGTCTGATCATGAATTAATAGTAATAAAGCTGGATTCTCTTTAAGAGATTGAGAAATTCAAAGGCAAAAGCTCATGTATCGTGTTGAGTTACATGTGAATCTTGGAAGAAGCTGGGAGGCAACCACATGAACTCACCAGAATACCTCAGTCTCACAATTTCTTGGATATGTTCCTCCCAAACCTTTTCCTCAAAGATTAAATTCTGCAAATAACCTCATGATTAAGAGAAGAAGCCTGTCCACCAGTGGATTTATCTGTCATTTCCTCCGCATTGTGAGTTGAATCGCCTGACAAAGCGAAAGCAAAGAGGCATGCATTAATTCTTCAAAGTGTAAGTCAAAAAGGTCAGCACTTCCACAGTGTGGCAGCAGCTCTGCAGATGCCCACATCGTGACAGTTGACAGAGCAAAGCCCAGCACAGGCTAACGCTGAAAGTGCCAAAAGGCTGCCTTGGCAGTTTTCTGCAATGCATCCCCATGAACACAGTCAGGAACAACTTGTCCAAGGGCTCAGTGACCATGAAGAGTGAGGGTTGCAGCCATGGAATAGGCTATCACAGAGCAAGGATTCGGATAAGCAGCTGGAAGCAGGCACAGGAGCAAAACACCTGACAACCCTCTCACTAGTCCAGTGGAAAGACATAGCCTTGGAACCAGAACGGTGGCTCAGTGACAAGTGAATGTGCTGCACTCCACGCCATTCTGGGGTAGGTCGGTCATGAAGAAATGCTGAGATCTGAGCAGGTCTGACCACGGGGCTTTGCAGGAACAGAGCTCAGCCTCCTTGGGCACCGTGAGGGCACTTAGCCTCTAGAGAACTGCTATCTTGACCCTCAGGGTATGCTTATACTGCCCTGTCTTCCAGAACTCACCTTTGGCAAGGTGAGAATGCAACAGAAAAATAGCCCTTATAAAAAGGGACCAGTCACTTTTTATAGTCACCCAGCTCTGAATTCTAGTTTCAAAGAAAGAAACACAGCAATGAAAAGAGGATAGGGCTTTCTCTCCAAGGAATGAACTTAAACTAGATTGCAGCAAAGGAATCATATTTGCACATGCTCCTGAGAAAGCGGAAGTTCTCTCTACGACTTCCTTGCATCTTACCGCCTCCCCAGCCTCCTGATCGTCTCTGCATCCAAGGAGAGGGCATGTGGGTGCTCTAGAGCAGCTCCTCCAGACCTTGATGCTACTTAAGCTCCCCCACCTCACCTGGACCACGGGGCCCATGTGGAGAAGGGAATCTTTCCACCCCGGTATATTTACCGCTTCTCTTCCTTGACCACCTGCCTCACTCTCCTTCCTCCCCCAAGCCTCACTCCAACAGTCTGGGGGCAAGCAGTGTCTACCTTGTATGCTCTTACCTGATGAAGAAAGAGCCTGAGTCAAGAGAAGGGAGAAGCACAGCCTCTTCCTCACCCGAGGCACTTGCAAAAGTGCTTGTCTCACCTCGCTGCAAGCTTTCCAAGGACGCAACCAAACACGGGAGAGAAACAAATTCAGCCCAGAAAGTCAGGGGAACATCTTCTTCACTCTAGCACCAGTTCTTTTTGTGTCTCTATTTGCCAAGTTAGAGGGAGGAGTGAGAGGCTGGAGAATCTGGCTGGTTCTCAGCTGTGTGTAGTTTCAGACACCATTCATGCGCAGTGAGTGCGGGCCGAGGGAAGGGAATTTTACAGTTCTCTGGCACCGCCGTTCCTTCAAGGCTGATGAATCAGACATCTCTTTCATTATTACTGTGTATGCTCTCTACCTTTCATATGGGCTATTTCTTGGATTTTTCTCATCTAGACAATAAATCCAAGCACATCTTCTGTATCCCTTTGCTCTCTGGGAACTGAGGGTAATGAAGGGGACGTGTGCGTGGGAGGACTAGCCAGGAGAGATCAGCGTTGAGTCCTTGGGACAGTAAATACACCAAGCAGTGAAAATTAACCTCCACAAGAGTGTAGTTGTGATTTTTCTCCCAGAACAAATATATAAAAGGGATCTTTGTCATAACGATGGCAGGAAATCGCTAATTATCACATCAGGATTGAAGTCCCCACCGTAGCAGTGGACGGGAAGACTTCATCTGTGAGCTTCATTAAAAATGCAATATTTTGTATATTTAGCTTTTTTCAGTTTCACCAAGACACCTGTAATTAATGCAATTTGTTGTACGATCGGTGTTCATGTATCTGATGTGTAAAACCTTACTAGATTTGCCCCAGTGTTAAGGTGTGTGTGGCTTTCCAGCACTCCATGTGTTCCTAGCAACATATCTCAGGCAGACTTTCGAAGGTAGTGGCCATTCAGTAGCACTGTCTGTGACGATGGACAGGTTCTGTATCTGCACTCTCCATTGGGATAGCCACCAGCTACCTGTGGCTATTGACCACTGGCAATGTACCTGGCATGACTGAGAAACTAGTTAACACTTTAAAAAGTTTCTTTTTTGATACAGGCTCTCACTCTGCCGCCTGGGCTGGAGTGCAGCGGTGCAATATCGGCTCACTCACCTCTGCCTCCTGATCCTCCCACCTCAGCTTCCCCGAGTATCTGGAACTACAGGTGTGTGCCACCATGCTTGCCTAATTGTTTTTGTGCTTTCTGTAGAGATGAGCTTTTGCCATGTTGCCTGGGCTGCTCTCAAATTCCTAGGCTTAAGTGATCTGCCTGCCTCAGCCTCTTAAAGTGCTGGGACTACAGAGGTCAGCCACCGTATCAGCCCTAGTTAACACTTCAATCAATTTGAATTTAAATAGGCACACCTGCCTAGTAGCTACTGTGTTGGAAAGCACAGCCTTCCGGGGTTCTGGTACATCTGCCAAGGCCAGAAAAGGTATGTTGTGATGGATAGTGCTTCATCTGCCACAGGGTAGTAATCTGATACAGGCCGGCTCAGATGACACCACCCAAAGAAATCTCATCAATGTGCCCCTCTGGCAAGCCTGACAAGGCTGACTTCTTTCGATGGGACCCTCCAATCTCCCCATTCCCTGCAAGCAGCTGTGCTGTCTAGGAAGATAATTTGCTATCAGACCAGTCTGTATGTGCGTCTTCAGAGGAGACACTGTCTCCTTATCCCAGCAGTTTTCAGCTTTTTGTTTCTGGTTGCAAACGATTGACTCTGCTGATTGCTGGAAGTGACTCCCCACCCTCCCGGGTTACCCCACCAGTGAAAACACAGGCAGGGGCGGCCTGGCTTCCTTTCTGGTGATGTTACTGGGGAGCTGCCTGCTCAGAACCCACATAAAGCCTGCCCCTCATCCCAGGCAGAGAGCAACCCAGCTCTTTCCCCAGACACTGAGAGCTGGTGGGGCCTGCTGTCCCCAGGAGACCTTCACCACCCTCCACGGTGAGTATTGCTCTTCTTCCTGCCCCCGCCCCCGTGTCACCTGTGCCCTCAGTTGTGTGCTGCCACTATGGCTTCTAAAACCCAGGCTTGCACTCATTTGTTCAGAGGTCATGGGCACCGGGTACTTTGCTAGAAACTTCCAGGAAGACAAACGGGAATTGATGCTGCCCTACCCAGCTTTCTTGTAGGGCAAGTAAGAAAACTCCCTCCCCACCCACTTACATGAAGCTTAGGTTCAAGGCAGTCTGTGATTTGTACTTTAAAGGAGGGAGAAGCAGGTGCTGGGTGGCAAGATGGTGGTCAGGGGCTGGGTAAAGGACTCTCCCATGAGGTCCTTGAGTCTGAGACACTGCCCCACGGAAAGGATTCTTTGTAGCAGTGAAAAATTGGAAATAAGGAAACTATGCACCAGGAGGTGGATGGCTACATGAATTGTTACATGTTTATTGTTACGTATGTAGCATCCAGTCCTATGATAGGGAATACACAGCAGCCAAACAATCCTATGATATGGCTTCATGTTGAATTGGCATGGAAGGTGATCCATGAGAGATGGGCAGTTACAAAGCAAGATAGAAGATTATATGTGTAGTCTGATTTCCTTTCTATTAAGTGCTTGTGTGTGTGCCTGAGTTTGTGTGTGTGTGTGTGTGTGTGTGTGATCGTGTTACAGAGAAGTCAGAAAGGAAGTATCTCAGAAACTTAACAATGGCTAAACTAGGAAAGGGTGCCTGAGGAGTTTTTATTTTCTTTATTATTTATGTTGGCATTTTGGGGATTTTTTTGTGCATTGTAAAAATACTCCTTTACGATCAAAGAAAAGCAAAAAGTTATTTTAAAGGACTCATCGGTGGATGCAGGTTTGTCTTTTCAAACAAAAAGTTAATTTGCTATTTCAGCTCCTAGAATTTCAGAGTCCTTTTCTTCCAATATCTGCCTATCTGTTCTGAAGCTCCCTTGTATATGCCCCACTCACAGACTTGCATTGGGAGCCCCTGGGCCCCATGCAGCCCCTGCTGGGCGGTTGGTAGCATCTGATCCAGGCTTGGTGAATGGACTGATCTGATAGACGGCTCTGAGACCCCGCCCCCGTGTAGGGAACAAAAAGCAGAGCTATGAAAAAATGTAAGAGATGATTCAAATTCTGTGTAGCAAATTGTACAAAGATCAAAGTAAGGACCTGCATTCCTGACTCATGTTAGTCTCCGATTTGATGTTAGTGCTGTGAGCATCAGAGGCTGTAGTGTGCAGAGCCGCCGCATGCACAGGCTGATTTTCATGCTGGCTACTGAAGAATGTTAGCTAATACAAAAATAGTGGTTGAATAATAATAGATTCCAAGCTAACTTTTCTAACAAACACTTTTCACTTTTGAAGAATTAGCAGCTTTCTCTCTTCCTTTATCTCCCAGGTCCCTGCACACACCCCAGGCTTTCTGGCTTTCATGCCTTTGTCTATATGTTTTCCTGCCCTGGAGCAATGTTCCCTCCCTTCATTGCATGACCCCACTCTCTTCAGCCTTCAAGGACCCACAAAAATGTCACCTCCTCAATGAAGCCCTCCTGGATTTTCCCCAGGGCTAGAGACATGACTTCCTCCTTCCAGTTCCTACCATGACCCATAGCATTTTCCATTTGTTGTTATTTGCAGCCATGACTTACCCACTGTATTTGAATGCAAGCTTCTTGAGGACATGGATCATGTCTTATACATTGTTTAAGCCAAACAAATGTATCAGGTATTAAGACACATTGAATAAGCAGGTTCGATGGGGGGCCCGTGGCACCTGCAGCATGGCCTCACCGAGCAGCGAGGGAGAGATTTTCTGCAGTGCTGAGTCAACCGCCCATCCACTCCCGGTAGACCGTTGAGATGTTCCTCGCTCTCAGTATGTTTGGTCATACGTGGGATTTCCCCCCCTATATTTTTCCCTCCTTCTCAGCAGCAAGAAAAAAATGAAAGCAAGCACTGAGACTTAGTAGCTGGGAGAATAAAGTATTTGAGAAGTATTCTGACAAAAATGAAAGAGAGCTAGACGGCAAGGCTGTCTGAGGCTGTCTGCGGAGGTTCCAGATGCCGAGTCTAGAGAGGAGTGTGTCCTGTTTTCACTTTGTTTCTCTCCATTGTCCTATGAGCCAGAAGATGATGCATATTTTATAAAATGTAGTTATCTTACACCCTATTATACACTCTATGACATTTTCTATACTATTTGTTACTTATTTAGAGACAAGGTCTTGCTCTGTCGTCACTCAGACTGCAGTGCGGGGCTGCGATGGTAGCTCACTTCAGCCTTGATCTCCTGAGCTTACATGCTTGTCCTGCCTCAGCCAGCCGAGTAGCTGGGTAGGCAATCATGCCTGGCATATTTTTAAATTTTTTGTAGAGACGGAGTCTTGCTATGTTGCTTAGGCTGATCTCAAATTCCTGGCCTCAAGGGATGTTCCCGCCTCGGCCTCTCAAAGTGTTGGATTTACAGGTGTGAGCCATCTTGCTCAGCTTGTATTTATATATTACCCCTTTTAACAAAACGGACAAACCTTTATAGAAAGCTAGGGTACAAGTTAGTTGCATAAAATAGGTTTGGTGAATGTAATTACTAGACCTGCTGTTTCTGTGGTAGCCGGAGCAGGTCTAGTAATTAATTACAAGTTCCTCCTCTAGACAAGTTTGTAAACAGGTGTGCTGAATGTGAGAACACTGGGCTCCTTCTTTTTTTTTAATCTGACAGGTTATTTTAATGACAGTTCTTAAAATAAAATTCCATACACTTGGTAAGATATTTAAATAGCTGGTAAAATCTAAACAAAAACATGAAAGTCTCATTTTCCACTGGTCATCGTGGTTTTCTCCTTCCAGAAAATGTTTCGGTGCTGGGGAGCAGTGCAGTGTGTCTTTTTCTATCTATTGTTTTTAAAAGATCACACATTGGGAGGCTGAGGCAGGCAGATTGCAAGGTCAGGAGTTCAAGACCAGCCTGACCAACATGGTGAAATCCCGCCTCTACTAAAAATACAAAAATTAGTTGGGCATAGTGGCGTGTGCCTGCAATTCCAGCTACTTAGGAGGCTGAGGCAGGAGAACTGCTTGAACCCAGGAGGTGGAGGTTGCAGTGAGCTGAGATCGTACCACTGTACTTCAGCCTGGGCAACAGAGTGAGTCTCCATGTTAAGAAAAAACCACACAACTTGTAATTCCAGCTACTCAGGAGGCTGAGGCAGGAGAACTGCTTGAACCCAGGAGGTGGAGGTTGCAGTGAGCTGAGATCGTACCACTGTACTTCAGCCTGGGCAACAGAGTGAGTCTCCGTCTTAAGAAAAAACCACACAACTTGCATGTTAATCTTACAATTTTGAAGACCTCTTTTCTATCATGAGGACCATCTTTATTTATTGGCTGCACGTGGTTTATTGGACTGATGTGTCATAATATTACCAATTGCTGAATATTTAAGTCGTTTTCCATTTTTTGTTCTGCTGCAACATATATCCCCATAACTGGACCCTTATGTTCTTTGGTGAGAATACCCGTAGGCCAATTCCAAGCAGATGCGCTGCGGAGTCAGAGATGTTGTGTGTTGTAAAATTTGACAGTTAGGGCTTAACCCTCCAAAAGATTATATAAATTTATACTCCTCACAGCAGTGTGGAGGCCTTTTCTCCAAACTCTTACCAACATCATTACCATCTATTACTATTTCCAATCTGAAATTTGCTATCACTCACTATAACCAAAGCCATTCTTTCTTCTTTCTGTGACTTCTTTCTTTGGGAATTTTTCTCAGATGTTACATGATTAATATTCAATCATTTCATGCAAGTAAAAAGGAGGTGACATAAGCCCTGGGAACTAGAAATATACATACATGTCTATCTATATCTATATCTCTATATATAAAGTATTTTCTAACTGATGTCTCAAAATCAACTTCCCCATTCCCCAATTTGTAATCAAATTAAATTTACTGAGTTGAGATCTTCCAAAATCAACTGGGCATTTTTCATCTTGGGGAAAAAGAAGAAGAGTAATTCTCAGCTCCAAAGTGGCTGCTTTTCTACTTGCTGGGTGAGTTTCTTATTTCAAAAGAGAGACTCAGTGGGTTTCTTGATGGCACCTGGAGTCATGCTAAGTGGAAAGCAATTACTCCACAGAGGTGAAGACTCAGAAGAGTTCAGAAATGCTCCTGGGGAAGTTCTTGGTTCTTATGCTTAGGAGGAAAGGGGCAGAGTACAACCTTTCTCATTCACCTGGGAAATATTTCCAAATAACTATAAAAAGGAGTTAGAAGCAAGTGAATTGCCCCTCAGAGGGGAAGGTTTAAATGAGTTGGGGAACAGCCCCTGTTGGAATGCCATGTAGCTGATGCATTCATCTATCTGAAGATGTTTAATGATGAAGGAAATGCTCATAATGTTAGGTGGGGGGCGGGGAGAAGAAACGTTCACAGTGTGTGAATGCATAGATACACGGCTGGGAGGGAAAACAACAGAAAGTTCAAAGTGGTTATTTTGGGGTAGGAAGATTATGGGTGATTTTAATTTTTTTCCTCTCGGTTTTTGTGTATTTGCCAAAGTTCCTACAAACACACATGCTACGTTTGCAACAAAAAAAAATCATCAAAGAAAAGCATGATATTTTTTGAGATAAATGCAAGCGTTTTCCTGGCCCCCAGAGGGCTGCAGTGAACTTCTGTGCATGCCCAGGTGGCTGGGCAAGGTCACGGCTGGAGGCTGGGCTGCTCATTCTAATTTCAGACTCAGTCTGTGTCAGGCTATCTTGTGTCTTAGGGTCAATTGCCAAAACATTTTTTCTTTTTGTCCAAAAGTTTATTGTGAGTCTTACTTGTATCTAATTTCAAGCTTACTGAAAAGTCAAGAATTGTGTAAAGAATGCTCATAAACGCTTCACCCAAACCACTGTTTTCATTTTGTCCCACTGGCTTTATTATTCTCCCTCTCTCCATATACATATGTTTTTTCTTCTCTCTCTCTCTCTTTTGCATGTTTTTGAATCCTTTGAGAATATGCCAAAGACACTATTCTTTTGCTCCTAAATACTTCAGGGTGTAATTCCTAAGAACAAGGGCATTCTCCTGTAAAACCACAGTGTAGTCAGCAAAGTCGGGAAATTTAACACTGATCCAACACTGTTGGATTGAAATCACAGTTCCTATTGCAATGTCCTTAATTTCCCAGTAATGTCCTTCAGAATAATTTTTTCCCACTCTAGGACCAAATCCAGGTTCTTACATTGCATCTACTTGCCCTGTCTCTGTAGCCTTTTTCAATCTGAGATGGTTTCTCAGTTTTTCTTTGTGTCACTTGATCTTGATATTTTGCCAGTTACTTCGCAGAAAGTCCTTCATTTTGGGTTTGTCTGATGCTTCCGTATTCTTTGATTAAGGCTGACCTTTTCCCCAGGAATAAAGATGCTGTATCTTCCCTCCTTAACTGTTTAGGATAAATGTGACACTGGTTTGCTACCATGTTGGTGGTATTGGGTTTGAAGACCAACTTAGTCTTCAAACCCAATATCATCAACATGTAGTTACATATCTCCAAGGAGCCCTGGCTCTTTTTGGTGGAGAAAAGTATTTAGACTCCAAGATCAAGGCACTAGCTGCTCGTTATGCTGTGTATCATTGCTTTTAGGTCCTCTCAGCAGACAGGAAATATGTATGTAAAACACACATACATATACATATACACACAAATTATCTGTCTCTATCATCTATCTATCTATCTATCTATCTATCTATCTATCATCTATTTATCCATCCATCCATCCATCCATCCATCTATCTATCAGCTGATTTAATTGTAAAAACACCATGGGCATAAAGACACATGAATATATGTGTTCATATCAACACTATTAACAATACCCAAACCATGGAATCGACCTAAATGTTCATCAATGGTAGACTGAATAAGGAAAATGTGGTACATATATACCATGGAATATTACACAGCCATAAAAAAGAATAAGATCATGTCCTTTGAAGCAACATGGTTGGAACTGGAGGGCATTATCCTAAGTGAACTAACACAGGAACATAAAACCAAATGTCACATGTTCTCACTTATAAGTGGGAGCTAAACATTGAGTACCTATGGACACAAGGGAACGACAGACACTGGGACCTCCTTGAGGATGGAGGGAGGTAGGAGGTTGAGGATCAAAAAACTATCAATCAGGTACTGTGCTTATTAACCTGGGTGGTGAAATAATCTATATACCAAGCCCCCATGATGCACAATTTACCTATATAACAAACCTGCATATGTACCCCGAACCTAAAATAAAAGGAAAAAATCCACAAAAACAAACCAAAACAAAAAAACCCACGTGGGTCCATAGTGATCTCTCAAGTCAGCTGCAATGGCACAAGGCACTCCAGTGCACTTCTGAGAAACTACAGGCAGAGAGGTTACCAGGAGAGAGCTCTGGCTGCCTTCCTCCTTAGGGCCTGCTGACAGCCAGAGATGACACTGAGAAGTGAAGAAAACCAGAATGTTTTCTTCATATTTTGCTTTTCCCCACCTCACTTGAACAGCTTTATTGAGGTCCAATTACAATAAACTGCAAATGTTAAAATGCAGAATGTAAGTTCTGACATAAATACACCCCTGTGAAGCTCTCACACAACCCAGACAGTGAACGTATTTATCCCCCACTGAGGTTTCTTTTGTACCCACCTGCCCTCCTGCCATCCCCTTCTCATTTTTTTATTTTTTGAAATAGAGCCTTGCTCTGTGGCCCAGGCTGGTGTGCAGTGGTGCGATCTGGGCTCACTGCAACCTCTGCCTCCCGGGTTCAAGTGTTCCTCCTGCCTCAGCCTCCCATGTAGCTGAGACTATAGGCACAGGCCACCACACCTGGCTAATTTTGGATATTTTTGTAGAAACGGGGTTTCACCATCTTGGCCAGACTGGTTGCAAACTCCTGACCTGAGGTGATCCACCCGCCTTGGCCTCTCAAAGTGCTGGGATTACAGGTGTGAGCTGCCATCCCTGGCTACCTCCCCTTCTCTCTATTGCCAGAAAATCACTGATTCTGCTTTCTGTCACTATAGATTAGTTTGCATCATCTAGAGTTTTATACAAGGGAAATCATACAGTTTAAACTCTCTTTGGTCTTGCTCCTTAGCGTAATTGTTTGGAGACGTGTCCATGTTACTGTGTGAATCAGGAACTAGGGGTGTGACGCTGGACATGTTTCTTTGAAATGTACTCACTAGGCTGGGCGTGGTGGCTCAGGCCTGTAATCCCAGCACTTTGGGAGGCCTAGGTGGGTGGATCACAAAGTCAGGAGATCGAGACCATCCTGGCCAACATGGTGAAACCCCATCTCTACTAAGAATACAAAAATTAGCTGGGCATGGTGGCATGCGCCTGTAGTCCCAGCTATTTGGGAGGTTGAGACAGTAGAATCACTTAAACCCAGGAGGTGGAGGTTGCAATGAGCTGAGATCGCACCACTGCACTCCAGCCTGGGCAACAGGCAAGGCTCTGTCTCAAAAAAAGAAAAGCAAAGAAAGAAACTTGCTAAGGGAGTAAAAGGAAATGCCCTGGCTAAGGCAGACTCCGTCCTTGAAGGTAGTCAAGCTGTTGTTTCTTTGGTTATATAGGGGTGGGCTTTAAAGAAATTGAAAACATATGAAAATGACAACTCGAGATTTATTTCAGTCAGTTCTGAGGCCCTGTGCATTAGGGAACTAGATCATTTTCTTTAGTACACAAACCTAGGACTTCCTTTTCCTGCTGAAGTCAGGGTAAAGAGGAGAAAGGTGGGTTCTGGGGGCAATGGGTCTCTTTGGGAGGGAGCCCCAACCCCAGCGGGCACCACCCAGCTCTCATGTTCCTCTTGCCACCAGGTTACTCAAAGGCCCTTTTGGTGGGGAGTCTGGGGCCCAGGGCATTCTCAAAGCAACCACCGTCCTGATAGCTTCGGTGAGTCCCTTAACTGATAGAGCAGGGGGAAGGGGAACCAGGCGGCAAAACAGGGCTTGACAGAGACGTTAAATCAAGGGAACATGAGAAATGTAGAAAGGAAGGTCTGGGAAAAGTTTAACAGCCCTGCTGCCATTCCTCATCTGGATGGGAGACACACTAATTATTGTCTAAGTAGAAAGAAAACAAATACTAGAATCAGGTGACCATCAGAGTCAAAGCAGTGACTGGTTACTTCAAAGGAGAGGTTCTTTCATTTCTGCGCAGATAACTGAGATGATTCTGAAATCTGGAATACTGTATCAACCCTAACTCCGGCTTGGAATATTTTTTTCACAAGAAAAAACAGATTTAAAATTTATTAATCTCCATCTTTTGGGGGTTTGGTTGTTACTATACATTTACAAACCAGTCCCCTTTTTGATTTTTGTCCTTTTTCCAGGAGCAGGCTTGCCTCTGACCCACCATGACACCCACAGGCTTCACAGTGAGTACAACCACGTTCCTCTGGCTCCTCAAAACACTGTCATGTTCCCGTTTTAGGGGGTTTGGGAAGGATCCACTGTGGGGAAGGATTTATCTGCATGGCTTCCCAGGGTAAGATCTCTGCCCAGCAATGCCCGTTACTGGGTAGGTTGTTGTCTAGCACAGAGGGTTTTGCAAATGCAAAGAAGCTTTGGGGTATGTTGTGGAGACAGAGAGAAATGTGATTTTATAAATAGCTAAGGGTTTTTAATGATCTTTAACTAGGGTGTGCTTAGTTCCATGTGCCTGTTCTAAAACTCAGACAAAAGAGGCAAAGGGAGAATTCATGTAATTTGCTTTAAAAAAAAAACTCATGGTGGGCACATTAGTTGTATTTCTTGCATAACATTATGTAGACCTTATGAAAACACAGAAAACACATAACGGCATACGGTCGCCTGAAAGAGACCAAGAGCTGAACAAAAATTAATGAGTCAGGCCAGGGGCGGTGACTCATGCCTGTAATCCCAGAACTTTGGGAGGCAGAGGTGGGCGGATCATCTCAGAGGCCAGAGCTTCAAGATCAGCCTGGTCAACGTGGTGAAACCCCAACTCTACTAAAATTACAAAAATAGCCGGGCATGGTGGTGGGTGCCTGTAATCCCAGCTCCTCGGGAGGCTGAGGCATGAGAATCGCTTGAGTCTAGGAGGTGGAGGTTGCAGTGAGCCAAGATCATGCCACTGCACTCCAGCCTGGGCAACAGAGCAAGACTCTGTCTCAAAAAAAAAAGGAAAAGAAAATCGGTGAGTCAAATCAATCCAGATAATCATTTTTTCTTTTATAGCCAAATGTAATTATGGAATCAAATTAATTTCCCATGATTTTGTTAGATTCACAAATGCCTTAAAAATTACCTGAGGGCTTTAATTTTGCTATTCTCAAAGGGAAAGCCTGAGTTTTACATGTAGATGATTGAAATCCAGACTTCCTAGCAGGAGGGCTAACAAACTGCCTCACAGTACACTGCAGATTTCCAGGATCTAGGGAGAGTGGTGGATGAAACAGTTTATCAACTAAATTATTTATGATACGCTAATGATTCATTAGTATTACATATGTATAGTTACCTGATTGCACCTGTATCCATAACAACAGAAAGTAATTAATTTGGTCCTGGTGAAGTAACTATTTTTCTGACCAAAAGTAGACTCGTTTCTCCTGCACTAAATGCACCTTTCAATCCCTGAGGCTGTGGAAACAGAGTAGAGGAAGGCAGCAGAGCCAGGGCCGCTTCTGAGCTTTTGAGTCGTTTGGGATCTTGGGTAATAGCCAAACTCTGCAAAGCAGCCCCAGATAAGAAGGAACCTGCACCCCAATAACGACCTCGTATAGTCAGAGGAGTCTGGCGCCATGGAAATGGGAAGAAGATGGGACCACTGTGGCCCTGACTCCCACATTCCATGGAAAGTAGCTGTGGCATCCTGTGGGCACCTTTCTGAGGATGTGCTGGGCCAGTCACTCATGCAGGCACCCCACATTCCCTCAGCGTCACAGTCAAGGCAGAGTCCTGTTTACAGATGAGGAAACTGGGGCTGGGACAGATGGTTTGAGAGTTCAAGGTCCCATAGAAATTTGGAGGAAGAGCTCTTGAGGGGTGCTGACAGTGATCATAGCTTTGCTGGGTTGCCCCCTCAGGGTGAATGTCAAAGGCACTGAAATACAAGTCTCATCGTTGGGATTTAATACTTTCTCAAGTCTGGGGCCAAGGTGTCTGCCGACATCCCTGCTGATAAACGAATTCATTTTTTCCCCACCTCGCTCCCTCTTGTGCCCTCGCTTACCCATCTCCCCCATTCCCTTGTTCCCATTTTGGTGCTAAGGCACAACGGGAGGCTTTGGCGAGCACGGTTCCTGCCCTTTCTCTGTCCATTTCCCTGAAAGGGGAATCTTGAGCCTGGGTCTGGCTGAGGGTTTCCAGAAAACACAGGAATCAGAGAAGGAGGCCCTGGAAAGCTCTGAGACCTTCTTCCTGCCCTGGGTGTTCACAACTGGGATGCCGGAGCTGCTGCTTCTGAGTCCAGGACTCCCAAGGGAAAAGAACACGCCTGTGTGGGAGCAATGGCCTGTTTGTTTATATTTAAACAAACATAAAAATGTTTGTTTACATTTATTGAGAGATTTCCAAATAATTTGATGTCTAAGATCCATCAGGCATGTGCGAAACTATGAGTGTGAGTTGTGACACAGGGGTTGTTGTTCCAGGATGCCTCTCGTGGTCCTGACAAACTTTAAATAGATCTAGATTTTGTGTGTATAATTGAATCGCTTTTAAAATATGCCTAGGGACTCCCTAACTTAACTAAGTAACTCCATGCAAAAGCACGAGGTCCTTAATCCTCACTCGGCAGAAAAACTATGCCCCCTGGGCTTCCAGCGGGACATACTGTCCTTCTCTGGGGTTGCCTTTGGAGCGTTGGCTGTGCCTGCTCACTGGGCAGTGGAGAGAGCTGGGTCACCCAGGCCCGTGGACTTCTGCATATTTCTCCCCTTCTGCTCCTTCTGCAGTCTCTTCCAGGCCCTGCCCCAGATCGCCTCCCCTCGCTGGCCCAGCAATCTACCTCCTGCCAGGACTAACAGCAAAGTGACACTGGACTTCCCACCTGCCCCATCTCATTTTCCCCAGGAACCAAAGCCGCCTCTTGCGCTTGTCCTTCTGCCAAGCATGCCCTCCCTTGTCTGTCCTCCTCCTCACATGTCCTTAAAATCCGCCCTGCTCCTCACTTCCTGGAGCTGCAGCAGGAGAGCAGCGTTGCTGGACCAGAGTAGCAGCTCCACGCCGTGAGACCCCTGGGCCCTCATCTATGTCCCTGCTTGCAATTTGCTTCACAGCCTTGGGCTCAGGCTCATGTGAGAGTCTGTTAAAGCCATTTGACCCCTCACCCCCCAAAAAACCCCAAAACACCAACCCACAAATAACAAACAAAAACTTCAAAAGCAAGTTTAGTGCTTATTCATCATGTGGATTCACAGTCGGTACTTGCTCATCTGCATGGTTTTGTAGAGGTTCCTCCAAAAGATCATCCTCCCAACCTTTCAAACCTGCTGTGATGTCCCTTTTGGGGTCTCTGTGCTCTTCACAGCCTTCCTTCTACCCTCAGGTTCTTCTTTCGCTCAACATCCACTCAAACCTCACCTCCTACAGGATGACTGTCTAGTGGGGCCATGAATGCAGCTGGTTTCCACATCCAGCCTTGGGAGGATTCTCCTGGCACGGTCTCTAAAATATGTGTCACCTAGGAGGTCTGTCCTCCCAAGAGACTGGGTTTCCAGGCAAGGACCAAGACCAGAAGAAATATCTCTAAGTGTAAACTGACAATGGATAAGTCAGGCCCAGGGATCAATCACATATAAAATGGGGAGATGAGTTTTCTTTAGTTCTTTGCAGTAGTGGACCATTTCCAGCTGCCCTGTCCCGAAGAGCCACCTCCAGGATCCTGCTCCTGGGTCCCTCTCTTTGCAATGGGATTTTATCTTGGTCACGTATTGGAGGTGGAGTCAGGACTAGTTGTCAGATTTTCCCAGTTGTCATCCAAGTTACCTTGGGTCCTCCTGCTGCTTCCTGCCAGCCAGAGCCCCAATGGAAGTAACATCCACTGCCCTTTATCAATCAACTCAGTGAGCCCTGATATCTAAGAAGCCCTCCACAAACACACACCACAGGTTATAAGTCCCAATCAGTTCAGGAAACATTGTTCAACACATTTCAATGATTCTGAAGGATTCTCAGAGTCCTTACTGGGTTAATGTGCAAGTAAAAGAAAACAAGTTATGTAGGACTTTTCAGATCCTTCAATGTGCTCAGCAGTATTGTGGATTTCAAACAAAGAATATACAGAGATTCTTGACTATTTTAACCATAGTGTTCCACCCAAAACATGGTTGGGAGATGCTAGTCGGATCTACTAGAAATGGATGGAAATTATGCTGTATACAGATAGGGAGAGTCCAGCTAACAGAAGGTAAAGAATATTTTGTTATTTAAATATAAATATTTAAGTACATAAAATAACCTTTGTACTTAAATCTTTGTTAATATTAACTGTTCAAAACAAAATAAAAGCTTACTGTGGATTTGGGGCGACTCCAAATGCATCCAGATGAGTTGAACTACTGCGTTTGCCTCAGGAGAAATAAAAGTAGAGACGAGAATTGGCAGGAATGTCACTCAAGGAAAGGGAGTGAGAACTGGTAGTCCCTGGTGGAATCTGGGAGTCCTAATGGGAGCCCCGGGAGGGAAACTGGTGGGAAGTGAGAGCGCTTGAGGATCTGTGGGCAGAGGTTTTGGAAAGAATGTTGCAGGCATGGCAAGGACCCTCCCCTGTACCCAGCAACCCCCTCCTCCATCGGCACTCCATGTCCATTGCCTCCCACCTCAGGTTTGACTCAAGGGCTTACATCTCAGGGTCTCATCTCCAGTCCTCATTTCCTGTTTCTGTAGCAGGGGTTCTAGGATGGCTTCTGGTTCAGGAACCCACACAAAGTGTAAGAAGTATGTGTGCGTGCATGCGCGTATATGCGTGTATATGTGTGCATGCATGAGCGTGTGTATATGTGCATGGTGGGCATTAGTGTTGGCAATTTGTGTACATAAGAGCATGTGCAAGTGTATGTATTATGTGTATGCCTGTGCGTGTGAGTGTGTGTTGGGGACAGCTTGTTGGGGACAGCTTCACAGTTGTGCAACCCACAGTCACACAGGGGATTGCTTAGAGTGCTTAGAAGTGCTGCTTGCTTGATTGAATGCTGGATGTGTTGAAATTCCTAATAATTTTTGGACCACGGGGCCTGCTAACTATATAGCAGGTCATGAGGCTTGTGTGAGTACATGGGGTTGAGAGTGTCTGTATGTGTGTATGTGTGTAAGTTGGTGCTTCTGGAGTTTTCAGGAAACTCAGAGGACTGGGACCCAGATAAATTTAAGAGCCCTTGCTGACATTTTATTGGGGTCAGCAAAAAACTGAATACATGGGAGAAGGACAATCACAATCACTCCCACAGTTTGATGGACGTGCCCATAAGTGGTGTACAGGCACTCTTTCCTGCCCTATCAGAGCACTTGGCATGCACACTAGAAATGTTCACTCATTTCTCTGGTTGCTCTATGGGTAGGTAAGTTCCGTGAGAGTGAAGCCACACATCTGACTTATTTACCATGGTTTCCTTGGCACCTAACACAGTAGTCAACATACAGTACGTGCTTAATAAACATCTGTTGAATAAATATGTCACAACCCAAGCAGATGTCCTCAGAATGCCTATATCCTACACATACGTGTCTTTGGCCTTATCGTAGGTGTTTGGGGTTGAAAGGTTCAAGAGGTCCATGCCTCTGCCATCAGACAGGACTTTCAAAATGTTTTCCTTGACCTAATGCCGTCTTGTGTCCCCCTGCAGAGCCCTGTTCCTAACATGTCTGATGACTATGGCTATGAATCCACATCTTCTGTGGAAGACTACATCAACTTCAACTTCACTGACTTCTACTGCGAGAAAAACAACGTCAGGCAGTTTGCGAGCCATTTCCTCCCACCCCTGTACTGGCTTGTGTTCATTGTGGGTGCTTTGGGCAACAGTCTGGTCATCCTTGTCTACTGGTACTGCACAAGAGTGAAGACCATGACTGACATGTTCCTTTTGAATTTAGCCATTGCTGACCTCCTCTTTCTTGTCACTCTTCCCTTCTGGGCCATTGCCGCTGCTGACCAGTGGAAATTCCAGACCTTCATGTGCAAGGTGGTCAACAGCATGTACAAGATGAACTTCTACAGCTGCGTATTGCTGATTATGTGCATCAGTGTGGACAGGTACATCGCCATTGCCCAGGCCATGAGAGCACAGACCTGGAGGCAGAAAAGGCTTCTGTACAGCAAAATGGTTTGCTTTATCATCTGGGTATTGGCAGCTGCGCTCTGCATCCCAGAACTCTTATACAGCCAAATCGAGAGGGAGTCCGGCATTGCTGTCTGCACTATGGTTTACCCTAGGGACGAAAGCACCAAACTGAAGTCAGCTGTCTTGACCCTGAAGGTCATTCTGGGGTTCTTCCTTCCCTTTGTGGTCATGGCTTGCTGCTACACCATCATCATTCACACCCTGATACAGGCCAAGAAGTCGTCCAAGCACAAGGCCCTAAAAGTGACCATCACTGTCCTGACCGTCTTTGTCTTGTCTCAGTTTCCCTACAACTGCATTTTGTTGGTGCAGACCATTGACGCCTATGCCATGTTCATCTCCAACTGTGCCGTTTCCACCAACATTGACATCTGCTTCCAGGTCACCCAGACCATTGCCTTCTTCCACAGTTGCCTGAACCCAGTTCTCTACGTTTTTGTAGGTGAGAGATTCCGCCGGGATCTTGTGAAAACCCTGAAGAACTTGGGTTGCATCAGCCAGGCCCAGTGGGTTTCATTTACAAGGAGAGAGGGAAGCTTGAAGCTGTCATCTATGTTGTTGGAGACAACCTCAGGAGCACTCTCCCTCTGAGGGGTCTTCTCTGAGGTGCATGGTTCTTATGGGAGAAATGAGAAATACGGAAACAGTTTCCCCACTGATGGGACCAGAGAGAAACCACAGGAGAAAAAGGAAGTGAGAGAAAAAGAAAACTCAGAAAGGCATGAATTTGAATATGATTACTTTTAGTCAGCATTTCCCAAAGCAAGTATTTCAAAGTCGAGTGACTAGTCCAAGAGGCTGTTGATTGGCTCTTGACTGTGATGCCTACAATTCTCAAAGGACCAGCCCTGTGGACCACCCTGGTTTTGCCACTCGCCAGAGTGTCAGTGCCGCTGCCTCTGGAGGAGCCCATGGATTTGCTCCATGCACTGTGAACTTCTGTGGCTTTCAGTTCTCATGCTACCCCTTCCAAAAGGCGCCACAGAAGCACTGGTTGCTGCTACAGACCACAAAAGCAGATTTCATGAAAATGTCCATCTTTGGGAAATTTTCTACCCTGCTTTTCAGCCTGATAACCCATGCTAGGTCTTGCAGATTCTCGATCTAGAACCTTCCCAGGCAATCTCAGATCTGATTCCCTTCTGTTCTTGTTCCATTCCCGGCCAGTGAACGTCCTTGTTCTGATTGCAAAATGATCCACAGATCAGTAAACCCCTGGACAACTGGCCACACCCACAAGACACCCAGAATCTGTTGGCTTCCAAGCCATTTCTGCGTCCTGCTGGAGGTTCTGACCTAGACGAGGATTCCGTTTATTCCTGGGTATGGTGACTGTCCCTCCATGGCCTGAGCAGGGAGGTTAACAGCTGGGTTCACAGGAGCCAGCCTTGGCCCTGTTGTATAGGCTTGTTATGTTGAGTGGCACTTGCTTCGGGTCCACCGTCTGCTCCCTAGAAAATGGGCTGGTTCTCTTGGCCCTCTTCTTTCTGAGGCTGCTGGAAGGCGATTTACTTCCATGCTTCTCCTTTTCTTACTCTCTAGTGGCAACATTTTAAAAGCATTAATAACTTAGAAATTAGGCTGAAAAAATAAGTAATACAATTCACCTTTGCATCTTTTGAGTCTTTCTTTTCAGGATTTGGCAAAATGTATCACCTTTGAAAATATGTCACATATTGGAAAAGTGCTTTTAATGTGTATATGAAATATCAATTACTTGTCACCTTCTTTACCCACCTCAGTATTTTAAGTGCATGTAATTAAAGATCAAATAGACATATGAAGAGTGTGAAGGCTGGTCTGGAGGTTGTGAGTTATCTCCATCGATTGTTCACGGTCAGTTACACATTGAACTCCTTGTTCTACTTTCCCCCCTTCTCTCTACTACACTTGACTAGTCTTTAAAAAACGTGTGACGAGTAAGCAACTGGGATAAGGAAATAAGATCTCCAAGTACCTTAAAACCACCATGGCTGATAAGTTTTTTTTTTTTTTTTGAGACGGAGTTTCCCTCTTGTTACCCAGGCTGGAGTGCAATGGCGCAATCTCAGCTCACCACAACCTCCGCCCCCTGGGTTCAGGCAATTCTCCTGCCTCAGCCTCCTGATTAGCTGGGATTACAGGCACACGTCACCATGCCCAGCTAATTTTTTGTATTTTTAGTAGAGACGGGGTTTCACCATGTTGACCAGGATGGTCTCGATCTCTTGACCTCATGATCCACCCGCCTCAGCCTCCCAAAGTGATTACAGGTGTGAGCCCCCGCGCCCGGCCAGGTTTTTATTTATCCTCTGTCCAAACTTACTCCTTGGGCTTTTTTCTGTGTTAGTCAACAGAATTTCCAAGGAGGACTGTCGCAGCAGGACTGTAAACCACCCCGGCTTTGCTGCTTGGTCTAGAGGAAGCATCTCATTTCCCCAGTGCCTTGTGGATTGCTGCGGTTTCTTTTCCTACACCATCCTTTCTCAAAGGAGACATAAAAGCGCTGGACCCTGCCATTTCCTCCTTCTCCTCCCTGCCCACTTCTAAAGCACATGAGAATGAGGAATAAAGTGTGCGAACATGGGTGGCAGCCAGGAGGGCGAAGGGGTAAAGCACAGGCCTTGCTAACCATCCACATGCTGCCTGTGTGGGGGCAGTGGGCAGTAAGAAAGCACTGGCCTGGGACCAGCATATCAACATGGGCCCACCACGGGCACTGCATCCGTAGTTAAGGGGAAGATGATTTCTTCAAGGTCAGTTTACCAACTGAGACATCCACTGACCATTTCTAAGACGAGACCCAGATATTTGCCCCTATAGGACCTTGAGAGAATAAAAAAGATGCATAAGCCACACCCTAAATGACATTGTGCAGTTAGATGCAAAGAACACAGATGAGTTTGGCTTTTTTTTTCCCTTTTAGATACTGCGGTTCTGATGCCCTGTCATGGGAGTCCCAGTGGTGCTGAGCCTCACACAGGGCAGCCTCCTAGGACAACTATGGAGCCTCCCCACGTGGGAGCCCAGACAAGTAGCTTTGTGTGGACCTGTTCTGGTATAGGTGTTAAATGCCCACCCTCCTCACCACATACACATGCCTTGTGTGGAATAGGCACAATATAATGAATTAACATCTTTATAAACATTTAAAATTAATCATTTCTCTAATATGTACTTCATGTGTCAGGGTTCAGCAGCTAGAAAACTGTAAATAAAGACTGCCAACCTTGAGCATTGGGACATTACATGCTTTGGGCAGTGATGTTTTCCTGCTATCCACGGGCAGCCTGGGCGACTGGTGGTCAAGGAAGGAACTGACTAGACCAGGGCTGGACACCAATGCTTTTCCCAGCTTTGGTGTCCAGGGCTTCAGCCATGTGAGTTGCTCTGATTGCTTCCTGCCACATCTCCTGAATGCTGAGTGGCTATACTTCTTTTCATTTGCCCATTGTAGTTGTTACAGAGAGTCCTGAGCAGGGAAGGAAGCAGCCCACAGTGAGCTCCCTCCATTTTGGTCTTGTGGACCTTCTCCCAGGCTGTTGCCATTGCAGTGTGGTCATTATGGGTGGTATCTTGGTTTCTGTGATGGTGCCGACTTGAATACAAAGCCAAGGCTGCCATGAAGCATTCATGAGCTGACACCTTTGGACACTGCCACAGTCTCCCTGCTTTGGTAATGCAAAGCTGTCTCACACTTCCAGATGGTTCTTTTGTGCTTGCAATCTTTGAGTGGGTTTGCTTGGTTTTCTAATTCTAAGTTGGCCTCATAAGAACTGGAGCTTCCTGTGGGGTCCAGAACAAAGCACAGCTGAAATATCCCCCGGCACCAGCCTGCACCAGTGCCCACAGATCTCTGTTCCTCACTGAAGTTGGCCACTCCACCTTCACTGGAGGGTTCTTCTACAGCCAGCTTGTCTCAACGTGAGGTCCGGTCAAGGGGCTCCCCATGACTTTGAAAACAGAGAAGTAATCATGTGCTCTAGTACCTGCATCTTACATGTTTTAGATACTCAAATCTTTTTCTCTATTCAACGTGTGGTCACTGACTGTTTAGTCACTGTGTGTGGCTGGTAAGTACCACAGCCTTAGAATTCTCCTCCCAGCCAAGACACACCATAGTGCCTCTGTAGTAGTCTCTCTCCCCATCTCGTGTGCCCCTCCCTTACAGCTGAGGTCCCTATCCAGCATGCTCCTGGGACAACGAGCTGGTTCTCTATCATTCCTACATTATTGGAACAGACGACCCAGACAGCTAATGACCCATTCAATGTCTTTCTTTGACTTTTATATTATCAAAGCCTAAAAATGACAGGCAAATGTGTCTCTCCAACAAGTGATTCCTTATGAGGTCCTCTCCACATATTTCCTTGTATACACTCAATTTTGGCACCACAAGCTGAGTCAAAAATCTCTATGGTCATGTGGAGATGCCTCAAGAAAGGACTAGTGTGGTTGGCACAGGCCCTCTGGTTGCCAGTTCTTCAGGGCCTGCCTCCACTGCAGAGCCGCCCCACCCAAGCCAGGCCTTCCCAGGGCCACCTGCCTCCAGTGCCCGTGAGGCAGAGAATGGCATCATCTCGGCCCAATAGTGGCACTCTGATGGGCAGAATCTACTCCAGGGCACCCTCATGGTGCACTTTGAAAAAGGAAGTTAGCAGGGCCTCGGCTGTCACATGTCACCATTTAGAGTTTGTATGACGTAGTCAGTGAGAGGGGTGCTGGCCAACCTCGTGCCTTTCGGTCTTTTTAGCCCCTGGTCCTCAGCAGAAAGTCTGGCTTGGCAAATGCTGGTCAACTCTCCAAAGCCAGGGCTTTGTGGAGCCTTCATGGCAACTTGAGTTCTCTCTCTGCCCTATCATGCTTCCTCTCACATCCCTCCACAGGCGTTGATTCCTAATAAACACCCAAACTCCATCTCAGCACCTCCTTCTAGAGAAGTCATCCTGCAACAATCATCTCACCAGGGTCTGCCAATTCCAAGAGCCCACCTAAGGCTGGATGGGTAAGAACACTAGGTATGTAGGAGATCCAGAGCGTGGCTAGGCGCCAGTCACAGAACTCCTCTGAGAAGGCTGAGAGCATGGGTCCTGTCTCATTATAACCTAACCATCAGCAGATATGCTTGAGCACCAGCTGCATGCCAGGGGCCCCATGGTGTCTGAGACAGTCCCAATAGTGGCACTGTCCAAGAACTTTTGGCATTATTACTAACCCTGATTTACAGAGGAAGGAGCTAAGCTTCAGAGATACGAAATCACTCACCCAAGCCCATGCAGTTAGTAATTGGCTTTGCCTGACATAGTCAGACAAACTAGCCCTTGCTTCGTAGGTTTGACCAGCATTTGCCAAACCAGTCTTTGTGTTGAGGACTGGGGGCTGAGAAGATGGACAGGCACGGGCTTGGCCAGTACCCCTCTCACTGACCATGTCATGCAAACGCTAAATGGTAACATGTCACAGCCAAGGCCCTGCTGACCCCCTTCTTCAAAAGTGCACCATGAGGGTATGCTGGCAAAGGATGATAGTGTCATCTTCACAGAATCGAAAAGGTTCCTAGCTGCTACCTCTCCCAGGCTCCTCCCCAGACACATATGGCTGTGGAACCTTAATTCCTTCATGAAGAAGCCACAGATTTCACCAGAGATGTGTGTGCGCAGGCCCGAGGACCCAACACCCAGGCCTAGGCGTGCATGTGAACCACAGAATTCCGGCTGCTGGCTTTCCTCCTCTCCCAGCCTCATTCCCCTGCCTCTCCCTTCTCTGGCTCCTCTCTCTCAGAGGCAAGACCCATTAATAACTTTTCTGGGCCCAGTATAAGATGTGGCTTCAGGTCAAATTCCCTGGTGTGGAATCCAGGCATTACTCACTGCTGTCCCCACATGGCCCCAGATGTCCTCTGCAGCAGCTCAGATGATCTGAAGCGGCATGCTGGCCTCTCAGGCAGGCCCTGTCCGCCCTGCCCATGCTGGTGGTCTGCAGGGTTGCCTTCTGCCTAGGCTTTTCCTCTTTAGGTCCAGGTGGCCAGGCTTAGGCCCCAGACCCGGGTCTGCCTGGGCTGGTGCTTTCACCAGACCCCAGGCTCAAACCTGAGGAGCTCCTCCAAGCCTCCTCCCCTGCCCAGGGACTGGCACTTCCTTCTGGGAGTCACCCTCCAGGCTTTCTTAAAAAGCCGTAGCTGCTACCTGGATTCCCTGGCCTGATGATGGCCCCGCCCCTGACCACCTGGGCAAACACTGTGCCCGCTCCACCAGCGGCCCTCGCTCAGGCCAGGCTCTGCAGCCAGGTAGGTGCTCCAGGGAACCTGTCTCTTTTTGCATCTGCTGCAGCATCTTTCTGCAGACTCTCCACTTTCTAGACCTCAAATACACATTTCAAGCACATCTGAATTACATCATCTGGAAATTTCTGAACAATATAAACAACCCTCAGTCAAGAGCTGGCTGAAGAGTCCCTTTGCATATTAAAAGGCACTATGGCAACTGCTAACATGGCTTGCTGCGTGGGCGTGGCAAGATGATGTGGCAAAGTCCTAGAGTGACAGTGAGAGCCCCGTTATCATCCTGTGGCACACTGCTTGTCCCTTTCCTTCACAGCACTCATCTCGTTTGTAATTCGCTAGCATTATTCTTTCTACTGATTGATCCTCTGACTCCTACATTTGGACCCTCAGCCACATGCAGCCATGGACTGTGTGTGTTCTTGCTCATGTGTGTCTGCCCAGCAACAGCTACAGTGCCCAGCATGAGAGCTGCATCTCTAGCATTTGCATGATGTTATGACAGTCATTGAGGCCAGAAGGAGCTACAGCAATGGAAACTGTTTGGACACTTGGAGAGTTAGGCAAGAAAGACAGGGACTGAACTCTGAACAGCTGTGGACAGTGAGTCAGCTGGGTGGATTAAGGATGGCCACAGTTTCTTTCATGCCCCTCCCATCAAAATATGGGGTGGATGTCCCCTCTCATCAAAACATGGGGTGGATGTCCCCTCTCCTTGA